ACAGCCGGGTACGCAATCAATGGTGAAACCCATGGCGTATCCCAGGGATGGCGCAACCCTTGGCGCAACCTACAGCGCAACCCATGGCGCCATCTATGGCGCAACCCATGATTGGCGCAACCTACGGCGCAACCTATGGTGCAACCAATGTTTGGCACAACCCATAGCGCCACCCACGGATGACGCAACCTGTGGCTCCACCAATGGATGGCGCAACCCATGGCGCCACCTATGAATGGGGCAACATCTGGCGCCATTCATAGATAGCGCAACCTATGACTCCACCCATGGATGGCGCAACTTATGGCGCCACCCATGGATGGCGCAACCCATGGCGCCACCTATGAATGGGGCAACCTATGGCGCCACTCATAGATAGCGCAACCTTTGACTCCAACCATGGATGGCGCAATTTATGGCGCCATCCATGGGTGGCGCAACCTCTGGCTCCACCCATGGTTGGCGCAACCCATGGCGCCACCTATCATGGATGGCGCAACCTACGGCGCAACCCACGTATTGCGTAACCTACCGCACCACCCATGGATCGCGCATCTACTGGCAGTTTCTATTGGGCTACGCTCGATTTCTGCTCGCCGTTTGGACTGGCGGCGGGGCCAAGCAGCGAGCTGTCGAGTGCTTGAGCCTTCGGGGACCTTGGGGGACCACGGGCGACTTCCAGAGCTATCCAGAGGCCTCTTAGCAAGGAGGAAAAGGAGGAGGAAGAGGAAAGTGGGGAGCGCGGTGGAGGAGGAGGGGGTGAGGGAGGAGGTTCTCGAGGCCGGAGGATTGTGGCGGACCTCGTCTTTTTCATATGGTTTTTATCGAGTGAAACGCTCCTCCGCCTTTTTTCCCAACCATCCTGTGGTGTTGGGTCCTCGTTTTGAAGAGACAGCGCCCCGCGTTCACTCCTCCTCCTCCTCCCGCTGCCCCCTCCCTCCTGCCATCATCATCATCATCACCATCATCATCGTCATCATCATCATCATCATCATCATCGTCATCATCATCATTATCATCATCATTATCATCATCATTCCTCTCCTCTCCTCTCCTCTCCTCTTCTCCTCTCCTCTTCACCCACCCAGTACACTGTTTCGTGGCTCCATAGGGAGCTCCACCGAAGGCCCCAGTGCCCGCGCCCGCATGCGTCACCCACACCCATTTCGGCACACCCCTCACACGTTTCGTGGCTCCATAGGGAGCTCCACCGAAGGCCCCAGTGCCCGCGCCCGCATGCGTCACCCACACCCATTTCGGCACACCCCTCACACGTTTCGTGGCTCCATAGGGAGCTCCACCGAAGGCCCCAGTGCCCGCGCCCGCATGCGTCACCCACACCCATTTCGGCACACCCCTCACACGTTTCGTGGCTCCATAGGGAGCTCCACCGAAGGCCCCAGTGCCCGCGCCCGCATGCGTCACCCACACCCATTTCGGCACACCCCTCACACGTTTCGTGGCTCCATAGGGAGCTCCGCCGAAGGCCCCAGTGCCCGCGCCCGCATGCGTCACCCACACCCATTTCGGCACACCCCTCACACGTTTCGTGGCTCCATAGGGAGCTCCACCGAAGGCCCCAGTGCCCGCGCCCGCATGCGTCACCCACACCCATTTCGGCACACCCCTCACACGTTTCGTGGCTCCATAGGGAGCTCCACCGAAGGCCCCAGTGCCCGCGCCCGCATGCGTCACCCACACCCATTTCGGCACACCCCTCACACGTTTCGTGGCTCCATAGGGAGCTCCACCGAAGGCCCCAGTAGCATGCGTATTTCGGCACACCCCTCACAGTTTCGTGGCCCCATAGGGACCGAAGGCCCCAGTGCCCGCGCCCGCATGCGTCACCCACACCCATTTCGGCACACCCCTCACACGTTTCGTGGCTCCATAGGGAGCTCCACCGAAGGCCCCAGTGCCCGCGCCCGCATGCGTCACCCACACCCATTTCGGCACACCCCTCACACGTTTCGTGGCTCCATAGGGAGCTCCACCGAAGGCCCCAGTGCCCGCGCCCGCATGCGTCACCCACACCCATTTCGGCACACCCCTCACACGTTTCGTGGCTCCATAGGGAGCTCCACCGAAGGCCCCAGTGCCCGCGCCCGCATGCGTCACCCACACCCATTTCGGCACACCCCTCACACGTTTCGTGGCCCCATAGGGAGCTCCACCGAAGGCCCCAGTGGCGGCGCTCACATGCGCATGCGTCCCGCACACCCATTTCGGCACATCCCTGACAGGTTTCGTGGCCCCATCATCCACCGGAGGCCCCAGTGGCGGCGCTCACATGCGTCACCCACACCCACCCAATTCGGCACACCCCTCACACGTTTCGTGGCCCCATAGGGAGCTCCACCGAAGGCCCCAGCGGCCGCGCTCACATGCGTCCCCGCCACCCATCCCGGCACGCCCCTCACAACAACAGGTTTCGTGGCCCCATAGGGAGCTCCACCGAAGGCCCCAGTGCTGCCGCCCGCATGCGTCACCACCCGCACCCAATTCGGCACACCCCTCACACGTTTCGTGGCCCCATAGAGAGCTGCACCGAAGGCCCCAGTGGCGGCGCTCACATGCGTCCCCGCCACACATCCCAGTACACCCCTCACGCGCTTCGTGGCCCCATAGGGAGCTCCACCGAAGGCCCCAGTAGCGGCGTTTACATGCGTCTCCGCCCCCCATCCCGCCGCCCCCCCCCCCCGCAGCAGCATCATGTTTCGGGGACCCATAGGGTGCTCAACTGGAGGCCCCAGTGGCGGCCCGCACATGCGTTTCCGCCACCCATGTCGGCACGCCCCGCGCGTGTTTCATGTCCCCATAGGGAGCTTCGCCGAATGCCCCAGTGGCGCCCATCTCGGCACACCCCTCACACGTTCCGTAATCCTATAGGGAGTCCCATTGAAGATGAAACCCGCAGCTGCGGTACTGACAACTGCATATGGTTGGGTTCTTCGCCAGGCTAATTTGAATGTTTCTTCCCAACCATCCTGTGGTGCTGGGTCCTCGTTTTGAAGAGACAGCGCCCCGCGTTCTCCTTCCTCCCTTCCTCCCGCTGCCTCCTCCCCCCTCCTCCTCCCTCCTCCCCCTCTTCCCTGCGTTTCACCCACCCAGTACAGCGTTTCGTGGCCCCATAGGGAGCTCCACCGAAGGCCCCAGTGCCCGCGCCCGCATGCGTCACCCACACACAATTCGGCACACCCCTCACACGTTTCGTGGCTCCATAGGGAGCTCCACCGAAGGCCCCAGTGCCCGCGCCCGCATGCGTCACGCACACCCAATTCCACACCCATTTCGGCACACCCCTCACACGTTTCGTGGCTCCATAGGGAGCTCCACCGAAGGCCCCAGTGCTGCCGCCCGCATGCGTCCCGTACACCCATTTCGGCACACCCCCTCACACGTTTCATGGCCCCATAGGGAGCTCCACCGAAGGCCCCGGGGGGGACCCAGTGGCCCGCGCCCGCATGCGTCACCCACACCCATTTCGGCACACCCCTCACACGTTTCGTGGCTCCATAGGGAGCTCCACCGAAGGCCCCATTGCCCGCGCCCGCATGCGTCACCCACACCCATGTCGGCACACCCCTCACACGTTTCGTGGCTCCATAGGGAGCTCCCCCGAAGGCCCCAGTGCCCGCGCCCGCATGCGTCACCCACACCCATTTCGGCACACCCCTCACACGTTTCGTGGCTCCATAGGGAGCTCCACCGAAGGCCCCAGTGCCCGCGCCCGCATGCGTCACCCACACCCATTTCGGCACACCCCTCACACGTTTCGTGGCTCCATAGGGAGCTCCACCGAAAGCCCCAGTGCCCGCGCCCGCATGCGTCACCCACACCCATTTCGGCACACCCCTCACACGTTTCGTGGCTCCATAGGGAGCTCCACCGAAGGCCCCAGTGCCCGCTCCCGCATGCGTCACCCACACCCATTTCGGCACACCCCTCACACGTTTTTCGGTGGCTCCATTGAGGGAACTCCACCGAAGGCCCCAGTTATGCCGCCCGCATGGCGTCACCCACATCGAATGTTTTCGGCACACCCTCACGAACGTTAGTCGTGGCCACATCAGTAGCTCCGCCGAAAGGCCCCATTGCATTGGTTTTTGCCTGCATTGCGTCACCCCACCATTTCGGCACACCCCTCACACGTTTCGTGGCCCCATAGGGAGCTCCACCGAAGGCCCCAGTGCCCGCGCCCGCATGCGTCACCCACACCCATTTCGGCACACCCCTCACGCGTTCCGTGGCTCCATAGGGAGCTCCACCGAAGGCCCCAGTGCCCGCGCCCGCATGCGTCAGCCACGCCCATTTCGGCCCACCCCTCACACGTTTCGTGGCTCCATAGGGAGTTCCACCGAAGGCCCCAGTGCCCGCGCCCGCATGCGTCAGCCACACCCATTTCGGCACACCCCTCACACGTTTCGTGGCCCCACGGCAGGCCCCAGTGCCCGCGCCCGCATGCGTCAGCCACACCCATTTCGGCACGCCCCTCACGCGTTCCGTGGCCCCATAGGGAGCTCCGCCGAAGGTCCCAGTGGGTGTGCCCGCATGCGTCCCGCACACCCATTTCGGCACACCCCTCACACGTTTCGTGGCCCCAAGGGAGCTCCACCGAAGGCCCCAGTGCCCGCGCCCGCATGCGTCACCCACACCCATTTCGGCACACCCCTCACACGCGTGGCTCCATAGGGAGCTCCACCGAAGGCCCTCAGTCGTGGCTCCATGAGCCCGCATGCGTCCCGGCACACCCATTCGTGGCCCCATAGGGAGCTCCGCCGAAGGCCCCAGTGGGTGCCCCACATGCGTCCCGCACACCCATTTCGGCACCCCCTCACGTTTCGTGGCCCCATAGGGAGCTCCACCGAAGGCCCCGTGTGCCCGCACCCATCCGGCACACCCCTCACACGTTTCGTGGCCCTATAGGGAGCCCAACCGAAATTGGTAGTGTCAACTGCGGTATTCACACCTGCACATGGTTGGGTCCTTCGTCAGGCTAATTTGAATTTTCTATGTGGTTGGCGATAGTGTAGCGCTGGGCCACGATGACAGGCCGGGAGCGAACCCAAGAAAAGTGTATATTTGGCCCGTCGGCGCGCGCATTTGCGTTAATTCTGGGATTAGCGTGCTCTTCGAAACGAAGCCGTTGCGAGAACGAGGCAGGACCGCTTGCGATATTTAACTACCCTTGCACGCGCGTCCTGGGTGGCTGCTTTCTGTTCGAGTGTCTCTCTGCTTTCTGTTCGGCGCGCTCTGTTTTACCGCGCGCCGCCTCGATGGACATGGGGGGGCGTCTCCAAGCGATCGCCTTGCCCTTATCACGGGGGAGGGGGCTGTCTTTTCCCGACGAGGCGCGCTGTCGGCTCGAGCCGGGCTGTTTGAATGTTGTTCAATGTTTTTTTTTTTTCAAGAGGGCAGCGCAAGCGTTTTCCCACTTCGTCTTCTGCCGCGGAGCGAAGCGCTCTCTGCGCTACCGCGCGTTTGTGGCGCTCGTGCTGCGTAGCCCGTGCGCGCGTCTGTCTCGGCGCCGCGCGCGTGAATTGCCCATGGAGAATTATTCGCGCGCGTTGGCCGCGCGGCGCGGCGAGCCCACGAAGGCCCCGTAGGGAGCTCCACCGAAGGCCCAAGTGCCGCCGCCCGCATGCGCCACCCACACCCACTTCGGCACACCCCTCACACGTTTCGTGGCCCCATAGGGAGCTCCACCGAAGGCCCAAGTGCCGCCGCCCGCATGCGTCACCCACACCCACTTCGGCACACCCCTCACACGCTTCGTGGCCCCATAGGGGGCTCCACCGAAGGCCCAAGTGCCGCCGCCCGCATGCGTCACCCACACCCACTTCGGCACACCCCTCACACGCTTCGTGGCCCCGTGGGGAGCGCCACCGAAGGCCCAAGCGCCGCCGCCCGCATGCGTCACCCACACCCACTTCGGCACACCCCTCACACGTTTCGTGGCCCCATGGGGAGCCACACCGAAGGCCCCAGTGCCGCCGCCCGCATGTGTCTCGCACGCATGCGTCTCCCCACCCGGGACAGCACTTCGTCGTGGCCCCATAATGAGCCCCACCGAATGCGTTGGTCACAAAGACGGTACTCACAACTGCATATGGTTGGGTCCTTCGCCAGGCTAATTTTTGCGCCCGGCACCGCGGGGCATTTTTTCCGAACCCCTGGGCTTTGGCGGGCGAAGGGCATCTCAGTGCCCTCTCGGTGCCCTCCTGGGATGTCTTGGTTGTGGCCTGAGGTTTCCTGTGGCCTCCTGGCGCCCTCTGGAGAAGAAGTTCGGACTTCCAGTTGAAGGCTCAAATTGTTAGCCCTTCTCGGGACAAGCGAGCGGCCTAGCTCTGCCGCGTCGGGTGGCGCTTCGGCCGCCACGAGATGTTTGGAGCCGTCTAGGGGGCCCTCTCGGTAGTTAAGCGTCTTGGGTGCGGCCAGTGCGCGCTTTCTTGGCGCAAGGTTCGTGAAAATGCGAAGGGCAACGCTTGTTTCTTCAAGCGAGCCACCGAGTGACGCCATGGCCCTCATGAGATCGACTCGAGGATGCGTTGCGCATGCCATGTTATGCTCGGGGTAGCGGCGCCCTCGGGTCCCCCTAGATTGTCGTCAAGGTTTCCTTTGGCGCTTTCGAGCGATCAGTCAGCGATCTGGGGCGCCGTTGCGTGGCCCCCTGGTTCCTCGTCGCCTATCTTTGGGCTTCGCGGGCCCAGGCACTTCAAACGCAAACTAACGGCCGCGCTCCATCGCCATGCGCCCCCCTCCCCCCCTGCGATCGCTGCGCGTTTCAAGCAAGCGAGGCTCGGGGGTCCCGTGCGACCCCCTTTGAATTCTCGCGTGCGCGCCGCGCGCGCGAGCCGGCGGGTGCCCCGCGCGAACCCCGCGCGATCCCCGCGCGAGCCATGCTCGAGCCCCACGCGAGCCCCGCGCGAGCACCGCGCGGGCCCCGCGCGAGCCCCACGCCAGCCCCACGGGAGCCCCGCGCGAGCCCCATGCGGGCCCCACGTGAGCCCCACGCGAGCGTCGTAGTAAGAGCCCAACGCGAGCCCCACGCGAGCTCCGCGCGAGGCGCACGCGAGCATCGTAGAGAGTCCCGCGCGAGCCCCGTGGGCACCCCACGCAAGCCCCATGTCAGGCCCGCAAGAAACCCATGCGAGACTCACGGGAGCCCCACGCGAACCCCGTAGGTTCCCCACGCGAGCCCCGCAGGAGGTCCACGCGAGCTCCACGCGAGCCCCACGCGAGCCCCACACGAACCACGCGCGAGCCCCACGCGAGCTCCGTAGAGCCCCGCGCGAGCCCCACGCGAGCCCCACGCGAGCCCCGTAGGAGCCCCACGCGAGCCCCTTTGGCGTTCCCCGCGAGCCCCACGCGAGCCCCACGCGAACCACGCGCGAGCCCCACGCGAGCCCCACGCGAGCCCCACGCGAGCCCCACGCCAGTCCCACGCGAGCCCCACGCCAGCCCCACGTCAGCCCCACGCCAGCCCCACGCCAGCCCCACGCGAGCCTCGCGCGAGCCCCACGCGAGTCTCGCAGGAGCTCCACGCGAGCCCCGCGGGAGCCCACGCGAGCCCCACGGGAGCCCCACGCGAGCCCCACGCGAGCCCCACGCGAGCCCCATGCGAGCCCTACGCGAGCTCCATGCGAGCCCCACGCGAGCCCCACGGGAGCCCCACGCGAGCCCCACGCTAGCCCCACGAGAGCCTCGCGCGAGCCACGCCCGAGTTCACAGGAGCCCCGCGCGATCCTTGAAATGCGCTCGCGTTCCCGCGCGCCGTGCTACTTCTCAGTCGATGCACTCGGGGCGCGCGCGCGCTCGCCGCATGGCCGCGCGTGCTTGCCATACGAGGCATGTGTGTTTCAACGCCGTTTTGTATTGTTTTAATTTTCCACCCGCTCAGCGGCATCTGGGGTGACTTTAGGGTAGACCCTCCCCCTCACCCCGCCCTCTCCTTTATCCCCAGGTTGCACGTGAAGGCCGCGTCGGACGACTCTCAGAAATTGATCCAATATGTGCGGGCCGTGGTGGACGTGCTCACGTCAGGGTCATCGCAGGACGTCGCCGCTGCGCAGGAGAGCTTGGGCGCCAGATCCGGCAGGGCTTTCAAGTTGGCTCTCCTGAAATCCGAGTTCGGGAAGGCCACGTGGGCAGAGGCGGAGATGCGTTGCGCCGCTGGCGCTCTCGACGACCACAGCGTGGACCTCCTCGGCAAGAGCATGGGGGTCTTCGCGCAGGGCATCATACTAGTTTCGGTGGATGCCAAGGTGTGGACAGGCGTTGATATTTCGGATAATCGCCGTGGCCAGTACGCCGACTTGCTAGCAGATGCGTTTGCGGATGTCATGGAGGCTTTCCAGTCATGGTCGCAGCAGGGGGCCGAGGCGTCGCCCAAGCAGCTGGTGGAGTTCTTCGGCAAACTCTTGGAGTCTATCAACATGTTCGACTGGTGCGAGTGGGCTGCTTGCGCGGGCGCATTGCGTCGGGCCCCTTTCGGTCCTCGCCTACGTTCCCGAGGGGACTGCAACGACCTTGCGCACGGATGCGGCCATGCGCGAGGAGGCGAGATTATTCCTCGGCCGAGTCGGGAACATGAATTTCATGCGATGCTCCTTCGTTAACTTGCTCCGCAGGCTCGACGAGGCCAAGGGGCGTTTCAAGGTCATCGGTAGCAGTTGCGTTGATTTGGCCAGCTTGCTGGAGAAGGTTTCGACGGTGGAGGTTCCCAGGCTGCAACAGCATTGCGAGTATCGCGCGGGACTCATGGGAGAGATGGGCGCCATCTGCGCGGCGATGCAGGCGCCTGCTCCAGCGTCGGTCGACGACCTGATTAAGAGCTACGCCCAGGACAAGGACAAGTCGCTCCTGAAGATGGCTTGCGACATCGCCTCCGCCAGCGCCTTCGCAGGCGGCATGAACACGTCCCCGTTCGAATTGTACGGCGACGCCCCAGCATGTGGCGACGAGAATTGCATCTTGAGTTCCACAGACTTGACCACGCTGCTGAACGGCATGCCCGCGGGCATCGGGATGGGCAGGGAGATCGTCGATGTCGTGATAGTCGGCACTTACCAGCAGGTGAGCGCGTCGTGGGTGGACGCCTCAGCCCCAGCTTGGCGTCTCCTGGATGCTGCGCCCGTTTCGCGGGATAGCGACTCTTCGCTGCGCTCTCTGTTGGCGCCGCTACTCGGCGCGGATTGGGCGCAGAGGTCCGAGCGGTTTCTGGATGAAGGCGCCCGCGATGGCATTCCAGTGGGGTCCTCTCTGAGCGAGCTGACCGTCCACCGTACGTGCGACGTTCTCGGCGCCCTCCTTGACACGCTCGGCCCCCTCGACGCAGCCGCTGCCATCGAGTGGCTGCCGAAACTTTGGTCGCCACCAGAGGCAGAGGCTGCCGACGATGGGGGCGCCCGCCTGGAAATGCGCCGTAAGGCGGTTGAGTGGAGCCAGGTGGTCACGAAGGCAACCCAGCTTATTACTCTGGCCGCCCACCTTGCGCAGCGGTACGAAACCAATGACCAGTCGGTGACTACTTCCTCAGGCGACGATGCTGGCACGGTGACGCACAAGGTCGACAAGTACGTCGTCGGGGCAGTCATTTCTTTCAACGAGCTTGCCGCAGATATCGCATCGGATTGCAAGGCAGGTGGCGATAGCTTCGACGGGTTCTCCTCGAAGTGCGCGGCCTTCGCGCAATCGTGGGGCGAGGACTTCTGGGACCTCATCGCGGCACGCCTCTCCGACAGGCTCCACCGCGTGTCCCAGGCCACCAGGCAGCTTGCGCCTGGTTGGAAGAGCTACATCACAGACACGAAACATTCCAAGGCGCTTGCAGTGAAGCATTTGCTCACCCCCAGTGCGAAGGAAACGTTGCCGGCGCAGGCTGATGCGCAGTGCGACTTGCAGCAGCCCATCGCTGAGGCGTTCGCCAACGTGAACGCCCTGCCCCCGAGCGAGCACCCCTGCATGTCCAAGACCTACAAGCTCGGCAACTCGCTTCTAGAGGAGGCGCAGGAGTGCGTCAACATCGTTGCGGCCGTGACGATTCTAGAGAACACGAAGCCCGCCCCCCAGCCGACAGCTGCGTCTTTGCTGCTGGACACGATCGGCGAAAATTTGTCGGCCTACCCAGCGGCGCTGGTGAAGCCGCTGCAGCTCCTGAAGAGCAAGAAGATGTAAGAGCCCTGGCGCGCGGCGCCCGTCACCCCAGGCAGCTGGCGCGCAAGTGTGCGCCATGCTGCTGCCCAGTTTGAGCCTCGGCAGGCCGCGGAACTGTGCTGCCCGTCTTCGGTTGCTTGCGCGGCGTGGGCCGCTGCTCGCATTCGAGGTCATTCTTCCTGGCGTCAGACACCAGCGCGGCCTTGCCAGCAGAGCGCCCTTTTGGGGAATGAGTTCGCTTGAGGCTTAAAAGCATCAGCAATGGTTTGGAGTTGGCGTTGGCATGCCAGCAGGGCGGTTGACGTTCCGCGATTCCCCGTCAGCCCATCCAGACACGACGTCCAAGACACGCGATTGGAAAGAGGGGCCGAGGCAAACATGCCGTGCAGCAGGCGCGACAAAGGCTATAATTCGAGAGACATCGAGAGGTTTTTTGGAGCAGCATTGGGGCCATCCCTCGGGGTCATACCGTGTCAAAGACATCGTGGCATGGCTGGCGATGCCCGTTGGGCGTTCTTAAAGGTTGGGGCGTTGTCATGGAACCATTTTGGAGGATGTCAATCGGGGTTGGGGGGGTCCTTAGCCAGCCTTCCCACCTTTTTACCATCTTACCCGCATTTGGGATCCTCCATTCGTCACTTTGCTTACTCCTTGCTTTTCGGGTGTTGTTCCGTTGAGTGCGCATGCCTTGTTCGGTGTTCCCATTCTTCTGTGAACGTGGTTTCATTTTGAAGTTCTCGTTCTCATCAGGGGTGGTTGGGGCGAAAGTGTAGCACGTATTGCGCGCAAGAAAGCTTACTGGAGCAATGGGGTCTCGTCAGAAGCCTTCGATTGTGGGACAGCGCGGCCGCGTGGAGCTGTGTCGCGACGGCCTTTGGGGCCTTGGGGCTCGTCTTGGAGGCTAGCGCGAGGGTTATCTTTCTTTTCCCTGCAGACCTGTGTTCGTTTTCACTTCGTTCGGGACCGTTTCGGGCCAGCCTGGGCCGAACGGTTCGCCCAAATTCTTCGCGGGACGCCTCGCCCGGATTCATGGGGTGGCGGCGAAGGCGGATACGTGCCATCTAGAAGAGCACGGATAACACCTCAAGCGGCGGCACAGGCTTTTATTTCTCGCGACCGTTGGCGGGATTGCCCGCGTAGATTCCCAAGGGGGGCGCCCAGTCTCAAGACGTCCCGAACACTCGCGCCAGCTCGTCCAGGAACGATGCGTAAGCGAGCTGCCAAAATTATGGAATTAGAACAAGGGGTGAAACATGTTTAGACGTTAGTGACAGCCGCAATGGGGCCACAACGGTGAGGCCCGCAACCGCGGGCAGCTAGGAGTCTCGCGTTGGTTCCCGGTGGCGGCGCGGGAGGCCATCGGATTCTTTGGAGCTTATCGCGCCGCAGTGAGAACATTTTTAGGGTCGCTGCGAGTCGCCGTCGAGGGCTTCCAGGGTCTTCTTGGAACCATCGGGGGTATTATTGGCGATCGAGAAGGGCCTCTTCCATGCGTTCGGCTGTGCAATGCTCGGGAAGTCGCTTCTTATTTGCCCTTGCGCGTTCGCATTGGTGTTCAAGGGGACCTGGGGCCGCAAAAGAGAACCCTGGGGCCATTTTACGACAGAACGTGCCAATTTTGGGCTTCATCGGTGCCGATGTGCGCCTCTCAGAAAAAGGGACGCAGAGCTTCAGTCAATCGTTGCCGATTGTCTACCCGCGCGAGCGACCCCCAACTTCTAGGGAGCCTGCCAGCAAGGCTGTGCGACCGTCTCGCGCTGCTTTCGCAGCAATGCACGGGCTTCTGCGGGATGCGCCGAAGGTTTGTTTCAGGCAGCCATGAACGACTACACGATCGATTGGGTTCAATTTGGGTTCGTTTCGGTAGCGCCCCGAATCATTCAGGGGCCCGTTTGAACTCCATTGTCGCTGGCGGCCTCCGCCAGCCCGCGCCCGCAAAGATTGCGGATGGGGGGCCTTCAACAACGACACAGGGGCCTAGGTTCTGATGAACAGGTAGTTTTCCGAATCGATTTCCGTCATGCGGGTGTCGGGACTCATCCAGCGATCCTTTTTCGTGTTGATCCGCCCCACCCATTCTTGCTGCGGCTTCTTGCGCACCCTCTTTATATCCTTCTCCTTGTTCTCCTCATCATGTTGTTTCCGCTTGTTCTCTCCGCCACGCGCTGCCGTTGGTAATCCGCCATCGCCGCCGCCATCATCATCCTGCATGGTCTGAGAATGTCCTTGGCGTCACGCGCGCCGCGTGCCCAGTCACATGGTAGCGGAGCACGAGAGTGTCGGCAAACATGCGTTGTCCCTTCGTGTCGCATGGCGCGTCGATGCCGCAATGAGCACGCACCGCGGAGCAAGAAGCGCACTTCCGAGTTTCGGGCGCGCGGGGACAATCCATCAAACCTGCGGCTCCGACGTGTGCGTCGGAAGTGTGACGCGACAGTCAGGCTCCAATCGGCCCAGCTGCCTCGGTTTTCACGTGTGTGGGGACGGCGCACTCTTTGCGTGCCTCCTCCTCCTCCTCCTCCTCCTCCTCCTCCTCCTCCTCCTCCCCCTCCTCCCCTCCTCCTCCTCCTCCTCCTCCTCCTCCTCCTCTCCTCCTTTGCGTGCCATCTCTTTGGGGTCGAACGTTTGTAGCTCTAGACCATTGTGATGCCCATGCCTTCCATAGGAGACGTCTGTGTGGCCAGATCTGCTCCCCGGCGTAAGCCCGACGCTAATTTCAAACACTGTCAGGGCGCCCCTGGGAAATGCATCATTGGTTGGGCACGCCGCGAACGTTAGCGCTTCTAGCGTTTGCCAGGGCATGCGGTTTTGCAAGTACCAACAGAGCAGAGAACGACGCAACAGCCAAGATGAAATAAGCTAAGCTAAGATGAGATAAGCAACGCTAAGCTAAGGGGGCGTAACTGGGGGAACCGCGGGGCGGATACTGGGGGAACCGCCCGGACCGGTTCCCACTGCCCGGTCCTTTAAGTCAAGAGAGTAAGAACCCTTCTAGGCAGAGCCTGGGTAGGGAATATGTTCACTGCTGGAAGTACCGCGTTGGATCACAACCGTCTGAGAATCTTCAGTTTGGCCAAAACACAGCTCCTTGGACTTCAACGCCGCGGGCCACTTTTACTGTTGCGTCCTGACGATCCTGCATCGTGTCAGAACGCTAGGCTTGGTATTTACTTCAACGCCGCGAATCAACGTGACTGTTGTGCCTTGGCAGTCGCAAATCGCGCCGCAATGCATTTCCTGGGACATCAGCTGTCACAACTTGCCAACATGTTGTAGACGTTTAAGACGAGTGTGCGCGGTGCTCAATTGAGAGCCACGTGCCGAAAGCCGTCCACCCTCCACGCCTTGAAGTTGTGTCAAGCTTCTACAGCGGATGTGCGCGACGCGAAGGCGAGAGCCACATGTGAGCCTCTCGCAAGTGTTTACAGTCGGGGCCCTGAAAAAGGAACCCTTTGGTTGGGAAGGGGCTCCGCGTTCCTTAAGTGTTTCACAGCTTGCCTCAGGTTTTCCTTATGTTTTCGATCGGAAATCGAAGTTTAACTTATGGAGCAGAGGGGCCTCGTTTCTTATTTAGGGTTCCTTAGGTCAACGCCCCGACTGTAAGGCGAGAGCCACATGTGAACCTCTCGCAAGTGTTTGAGCCGAGTGCGCGTGGCGCCTGGGCGAGAGCAGCAGTTTGAAAACCACCCACCCTCCATCCGCGAGGCCCTGACCTCCATCCTCCTCCTCCTCCTCTTCCTCCTCCTCCACAATTACATGATATGAAAGTACTCTCCCACTTCCCCTGATGGCGTCCCGAAGATATCCGCCCCCCCCCCCGCGTACTGTTTTTTTACACACCGGATTCCCGGGAAACGGGTTTTCGCCTGCGTTTTTTTTCAAAATGCTGCTCTCGCTGAGGCGCCGGCCTCATTTCTGCTCCCGAATCGTTCCGAATCGTGCTCCCGCTGCAGCGTGGGCCTCATTTTCGGATCGGTGTTTGGCCTCCGTCGTTCAGGATGGCGTTCTCGCCCCAGCGCGGGCCTCTTTCTCGCGCGCCCATCCGCCCGCCACCACCGCGCCGCACCACCACCACCACCACCACCACCACCAGCACCACCACCAGCACCACCACCACCACCACCACCACGACAACCACGCACACACGCACGCACGCACGCACGCGCACCACCACCCACTACGCACGCGCGCGCGGAGCCACAGGTCCGCTACGACACGCGTCCGCGGATAGAGAAAATCAGCGCCATGGTAAGGGATGGGAGGGAGGGGTAGGACGTCAGATATGATGCGAGCGCACCTAGCTTGTTTTCCTCCCTCCTCCTCCTCCTCCTCTTCCTCCTCCTCTTCCTCCTCCTCCTCCTCCTCCTCCTTCGCGATCATAAGTGGTGAGGAAGTCTCAGGCGAACCGCCCGGTCCGCCCTGCCGGCACGTCTCCTGGTGCGACGGGCAGGAGTTAGTCATTTGACCGGTAAAGGGATGGAGGAGGAGGAGGAGGAGGAGGAGGAGGTGGAGGTCTAGGCTAAACCCAAGACGCAGCAACGACGCTGCAGTAAACCCTCCCTCTTAGTTCCCTCTTCAGAGCCCATAAAAGAAAGCACGATCAGTGCAGGCAGTGGCTCATTAGAAGACAGCTGTCTGAAAATCACCAGTTGTGCGAGCACACCGTTCCTAAGATTTCAACGCCGCAGATCAAGGTGACTATTGCGTCCTGGTGATCCTAAACCGTGCCTGAACACAGTTCCTGGGATTTCGACTCCGCGAATCAACGTTACTGTTGCGCCCTGACAATCCCAAGTCGTGCCGCAATCCCATTTCTAGGATTTCGGCTATGCGAACCCTTGAAACTGTTGCGTACTTGCAAGACGAATGCCGCGGCGTTCAAGCGATAGCCACATGTTGAAAAGGAACTGCCCTCTATGCTTGAAGCTGATCCAAGCGTTTCAGACGAATGTGCGAGGCGCTACGGCGAGAGCTAAATTTTGAAAATCACCCGCCCTCCATCCGGAAATCTTCTGCAAACATGCAAGACGGATTTGTGCGGAGCAAACGCGAGAGCCACATGTTGAAAACCGCCCACCCTCCGTCTGTGAATTTGCAAGCTTCTATTTTGAGGACCACGCGCCATCCATCCTTGAAGCTGTGGCAAACTTCAAGCTTCAGGATCCTAGATGGCGAGGAAGTCCCAGGCGGAACGCCCGGTCCGCCCTACTGGTACGTTTGGGGGTGTGAAAGGGAAGAGTGATGCA